GTATGGGGAGGAGCAAGGGGTCTCTATCCCCAGGGCAGGCAGAGCAGAGGCAGGGGGAAGCTGGGGACAAGGGGAGGGTACAGAGGTACCAGGAGCCCTTCATGCCCAGCCCAGGTTCAGGAGCCATTCTGGCTGCAGCTGGCACAGGTTGGACCGGCCCCACTCTCCTCCCTGCGCCTGGAGCAAGGGAGAGGGCAGGGAAGGGGACAGGAGGGGGGGGCTGCCTCCCACCTTGACACCCTGCGGACAGAGCCAGCCCCCTCCGGCCAGAGCAGAGACCTCGGGGAAGAGGGGGACGATGTCCTTGGCTGAGAACCAGGTCCTGCCTCAAAGGGAGGACAGGGAAAAGCCCCCAGGGAAGAGCTGGACCCCTGGGACTGGGCACGGGGAACCCCTCCTGTCCCAGGGCACACAGGCAGCATCACCGGGAGGGGAAATGAGCCCAGGGACCACGAGCAGCCGTTTCGGTCCCTGTCACACGTCTGGAGGAGGCTCCTGGTGCTGGAAGGGAGGGCAATGGCAGGTGCAGGGCTTGGCCGCAGCACCTCCCATCCCGCTCCTTCCCTGGTCTGCTGAGGGAACCAGCACAAACCAGAACAGCCTCATCTGCGAGGAAAGGGGCGAGAGCAGCAGACGATTCGGGCACCAGCACTGCCAAGCTGGGATGAGGCAGCCTCCGACAGCTGATGCAGACACATGGGGCTCCAATGAAAGTGCTACTGGCGTTTCCTCTTCCTTGGAAAGAGCCCACGTGCAAGGAGAAGCCGGGGCTCCCGCCCGGCTACGGTGCCCGGAAGGCGTTGGTGGCGGCGCCCGCAGCAGCGTTGGCCGCGGCCGTGCGCACCGCCTGGTTGGAGAAGACCCCGGCGGCAAACTCCTCCTGCGCCTTCTGGAAGCTGGCGCCCGTCCGGCGGTACAGGGAATGGATCTGGGAGAGCGGCGCTCGTGGTCAAGGCTCCAGCCCAAATCGGGGCCCCCAGTGAACACAGCTGTGCTCCCGTGCCTACCAAAACCACCCCGTACTTTCAAAGGGGCTCTCCGGCCCCACAGCGTGGTCCATTCTCACCTTTTTCAGCATAATGATGCCCAACACAGCCACTGCTGTGAAGAACAGGGACACCAGGATCATCATCACAGCCACGGCTGTGTTCTTCCGCAGTGCTATCAGGCTCAATATCCAGCCACTACAAAACAAGAGGCCAGGGGTTTGCCCAGGCGTTCCCTCTCCCTCACCCGCCACCTCCCCTTCTGGGGTGCTTGGCCAGCCGGGGCTCCCCGGAGGCAGCACAGTGCGCACCTGAATCCCCAGTTTGGTATGCCGATGGCCTGCAGCACGTACATCACATTCTGGGCAAAGAAGACGAAGAAGAAGACAAAGAAGTTGAACGAACTGTCGCTCCTGGGAGAGAGAAGACAGACAAGGTCAGGCCACAGAAACAATCTCCCAAACCTTCCTGAGAGTGGGGGACACAGAGAGAGCACGTGGGTCCCAGGGGATTTAGCACAAGGAGAAACCTGAGGAAAAGGCAAAAGGTAGTGCTGGGAATTTCTGCAGTAAGGTCCACTGGAAAATTGTGTTCCTGTGACCTCCTTAGATCTGCTCCTCAAGCAGAGGCTCAGCACAGGACCACCACAACCCCCAGACCCAAAGGCTGGGAGTGGGAACACTGTGCTCAGAGCAGGGAACCATTCCACCGAGCAGCCTGGTCCCCCCAGCCTCGAGCACCAGCAGCCACCCCACCACTGGCCCTGGAGCTCTGCACACACCTGAAAGCTTTGTACATGGGCCGGTACCAGCAGACGAAGGAGCAGGGTGTGTAGAGGAGAGCCCAGAGGATGGAGAGGCCAAACCCAGACCCAGATGAGGGCTCCACACAGAACCAGGCCAGCGAGGACAAGAAGTTCAAGAAGAGAGCGATGGTGCTGGCTGGGGGAGGACACAGCAGTCAGGACCCCCGCACTGAGCATGAACCGCGATTCCTGCAGAGCAGCAGCGCTCACGTGCTCCCCTGCCCGCAGTCCCCCCAGGCTCACCCATCCAGAGGTAGTACATGGTAGAAACCGTCCTCTGGAAGTCGGCGGGGATCTCCACGGGGATGTCCTGGTAGAAGCACGGCTTCACCGGGCAGAAGGAGGGCAGCGGGGGCCAGTTGTTCAGCCTTGCTGCAGAGGAAGGAGGCGAGGGGAGAGTGGCTGTGCCAGGGGCCCAGGGGGCGGCGGTG